GCCCCTCGCCTCCCACCCCCGTCCCGCCCCGCGGGCTCCCCACACCCAGGCGGACCCTGGCGCCTCGCTGAGTCTGAGCGAGTCCTGCGCGCGTTCACGAACAGAAACTGGCCGTGTGGACAGACAGCCGCACGTTCCTTTCTCCACCGGGGAGTTCAGTCGTTCCCAGGGTCCGTCCTGTCCCACCAGCACAACATTAGGGCGGTTTTCAGGTTTAGAGTAGAAAGAAACGGTCACTTTCCCAGCGCTCCATGCCACTCTGTGACCCCTCTCAACCCACTGAGACCCTGGTCTTGGCCCTGGAGTGGAAACCAGTCCTCAAGCTCAGAACCCAGGGCCACCTCAGCCACGGCCTTTGCTGTCGGTGCCATTGGAGAAGGAATGGAGCAATCAGGAGCCCGGGACCAGCGCTACAGAGCGCGGGTGGCAGAGCAAGGTGGTCGTGTGTGTGTGTGTGTGTGTGTGTGTGTGTGCAGACCACACACCTCAAATCAGGCGTGGGGTGCAATTCCTGTTAAAATCTCTGCCCCAACAAATGCCTTTTGACAAATCATGATTCCTGAGGTTTGTTTAGAAATGTGGTCATGATGTCCTTTGATGAAATTCATAGTGTATACAATGACAAACCTCCTCCCAGATATCTAGCTGTTCGTCTTAACTACCTGTGCTTTTATTATTAGCATTATTCAAGTATTACCAACAAAAGCCAGAGTGCCGAGAGCTTTACAGGGCGTGAGGCCCTTCCACACTTATTTCCTCCGTTAATACTTACCGTGACTCTGGGAAAGAGGAGAGACCGGCCAGAGAACTCAGTGCAATTCTGCAAGGTCGGTTTGCTCATCGTTGGTGTAGACGAGGGAACCAGCTCAGAAAGGCGACAACACCCCCATAGAGGGAGGACCTGGGGTGCAGTCCAGGTGCAGGCCCAGAGCAAGTTTCTCCTCACTCACTGCACCAGGTCCAGATGCTGTCCTCATCGAGGCTGCCATCAAAACTCACTCTTATTTGGGTGGTCATTTATCAAAGGAAAGGGGAGTTTTGAAACCCAGAAAGCTGGCCCTGGGGGAAGATTTGAAGGACTTTATGCTCCATGAGAGGAGCTGGTTGGCAATATATCCCCAAAGCAGCTGAGAAGCCACAGAGGGTGGTGCTGCCAGCTCTGCAAGTTCAGGGTGAAGACCCAGAGGCTCAGAGGA